GGGCTAATATCCAGTATATATGAAGAACTAAAGAAGCTGAAAAGCCTATCAGTTCTCATCAAAAGTGGCTGCATTGTCCTCTACTGTGGCCTGGTAAGGCTGCTCCCCCCACCGGGGGAAGTGATCAACGAGCAGGCCAATCAGATTATGTCAGAGGCAGTCCCTCTTCCCATTACTATGTAACCCACTTGGACACTGAACTGCCATGGGCTACACCTGTGCAGGGGTTCCAGGTCATCTCCACAAATAGTCCTTGGTTGGAGTATGAGTCTCTGGGAAGTTCCCTGTGTTCAAATTATCTTGTTTTGTTGCTCTGCTTGTGGAGTTCCCGTTCCCTCCAGCTCTTACTATTTCCCACTTCTTACATAAAATTCCATTCACTCTGCCCATCAGTTGGCCATCAGGCTCAGCATCTGCTTTGACAGTCTATACTGCAGAAGCTTTCAGAGGCCCTCTGTGGCTAAGATCAGAAAGAAGAGGAGAACCTCCCCTATCAGTGGACTTGGGGAGTGGCATGCATGCAGAAAGGGGAGGGAGGGTGGGATCGGCAGGGGAGGAGGGAGGGGCTTATGGGGGGATACAAAGTGTAATTAAAAAAAAAAAAGAAATAGGAAAAAAAAAAAGAAGCTGAAAAGCAACAAACCAAGCAATCCAATTAAAAAATGGGGAACAGAGCTACACAGAGAATTCTCGATAGAGGAATATTGAATGGCAGAGAAACACTTAAAGAAATGTTCAACCTCATTACCCATCAAATCAAAATCACCCTGAGATTTCACCTTACACCCATCAGAATGGCCAAGATCAAAAACTCAAGTGACAACACATGCTGGAGAGGTTGTGGAGAAAGGGGAACCCTCTTCCAGTGCTGGTGGGAATGTAAACTTGTACAACCACTCTGGAAAGCAATCTGGCGCTTTCTCAGACAACTAGGAATAGCGCTTCCTCAAGATCCAGCTATACCACTCCTAGGCATATCTCCAAAGGATTCTCAAGTACACAATAAGGACATTTGCTCAACCATGTTTGTAGCAACTTTATTTGTAATGGCCAGAAGCTGGAAACAACCCAGATGCCCCTCAACTGAAGAATGGATACAGAAATTTAATTGAGCCAGCCAGCTGTATCAAGGATATTACTTTTATCCTTGATAATTTTTTTAAAAAGCTTACTTTACCAGGATTTTTTTTTTACAATGACCCTATTTAAAGGTATCTAGCAAGAACTGAACATACATGTAAGAGATGCCACTTCCCTATTCCTCTCCAGTAAAATGAGCATCTAGATTGAACTTTTTTACAAAAAACAGTAGAGACGTTTACTGTGAAGAATTTTATTTTCTTCTTTTGCTTAAACATTTCTTTTTCACTGCTTGGTTTTCTGATAGTATCAATCCATTTTTTTTGTCTTACTTTTTTAAATTAATTTTTAAAAATTTACTCACTTTACATCCTTATCAAAGCACCCTCCCTCTTCTCCTCCTGGGCCCTACCCTACTACTCCCTTATCCTCTCCTCTTCAGTTAAGGAGAGTCTCCTGCCAACCTTTCCTCCCTGTTATATCAAGTTGCATCAGGACTAAACACATCCACTTCCACTGAGGATCAACAAGATGGCCCAGCTATGGAAAAATGCTTCAAAAGCAGGCCACAGAGTTCATGTCATAGACAGTCCCCAATCTAGTTGCTAGAGGACCATCATGAAGACCATGTTGCCCACCAGCTACATGTGTGTAGTGGTCTTACGTTCAGTCCATGCATACTCTTTGATTGGTGGTTCAGTCTCTGTGAACCCCCATGGACTTTAGTTAGTTGACTCTTTTGGTCTTCCGGTGGAGTTCTTGTCCTCTCCAGGTCCCTCTATCCTTCCCCCAATTCTTCCACAAGACTCCTTGGGCTCCACTCAACATTTGACAATGGGTCTCTGCATCTGTTTCAATCAGCTCCTGGGTGTAGCCTCTCAAGAGACAGTTATGCTCCTATCTGCAAGCATAGCAGAGTATTGTTAATAGTGTCAGTGCTTGGCTCTCTCCCATGAGGTGGGTCTCAGGTTGGGCCAGTCATTGTTTGGCCCTTCCCTCAATCTCTGCTCTATCTTTATCCCTGTACACCTTGCTGTCAGAGTAAATTTTGAGTCGAAGTTTGTATGGCTGGGTTGGTGACTCCCTCCCTCCAGTGGAAGTCCTGCTTGGCTTTAGGAGGTGGCTACTTCTAAGTCTCCATGATCCTGGCTGTTAGGTGTCTCAGCTAGAGTCATCCCCATATCTGCCCAGGAGCCTACCTCATCTTGGGTGTCCAGCTGGTTCTAGAGGTGCCTCCCACCATCGTTTTCCCCTCTCTCTTCCAGCCTTCCCATCTTTCAACCTCCTTCTCTCCCCTCCACCTATACCACCCTGAACGCGCCAGATCTCATCTGATCAACCTATTTCTTATGCAATATCACACACCTCTGACATAATTTTCTGGAGTGCTTTCATTTTCCTCCCATAGATACTGAAGTCACTTTAGTGGGAATTTGATGAGGCATAATGAATGTGAGTCTTATGCAATTTTACTTGAGAAATGGATGCTAAAGAGGTTAAATTGATTGCTTAAAGTTAGAAAATAAAATATTTCTAACTTTAAGCAATTAAAAAAAACCCATAACAGGAAACAGTAAGATCTGGAGAGGACAGAAACTCCACAAGGAGAGCAACAGAACCAAAAAATCTGAGCACAGGGATCTTTCCTGAGACTGATACTCCAACCAAGGACTATGCATGGAGATAATCTAAGACCCCTGCACAGATGTAGCTCATGGCAGTTCAGTATCCAAGTGGGTTCCATTGTAATAGGAACAGGGACTGTCTCTGACATGAACTGATTTGCCTGCTCTTTAATTACCTCCCCCTGAGGGGGAAGCAGCCTTACCAGGCCACAGAAGAAGACAATGCAGCCACTCCTGATGAGACCTAATTGACTAGGATCAGAAGGAAGGGAAAGAAGACCTCCCCTATCAGTGGACTTGGGGAGGGGCATGCATGCAGAGGGTGGAGGAAGGGAGGGATTGGGATGGGAAGATGGAGGGAACCACAGTGGGGATACAAAGGGAATAAAGTGAAATTAATAAAGGAAAAAAAAAGTACCAAAGGGGGGGGGACCCATAACAAAATAAGAGAAATTCAACATATATAAAATTTTATGTATCTATGAAGAATTGTTATCATGCCTTACTATCTTTTTGATTTTTTTCTGACCTATAAATAATTTATGGGTGTGTTATTTTATTTTCAAATATGTGGGATTTTCAGTTATATTTCTGTTACCGATTTCTAATTAATTCTATTTTAGTCTGTGAAGACTCTTTATACCACCAGTATTGTTAATTTTTTTGGATTTGTTTTAGGGTTTAAAAAACTGAGTTGTTGGTAATTGTTCCATGTGTCCCGGAAGGGAATCAGTACTGCTTTCATGCTGTGTGAAATGGTTCTTGAGGTGCTTTACTTTGTTAGCAGAATTATGCAAATCCTCCCTCTTTGCTGATATTTTGTCTCCACATCTAATTATATCTCAGAGTACAACATGAATTAGCCTATTTATCTTTGTGCTTTGTTTTTATTTTCTGTGTTTTAGAATTCTGCTTTCAAGTGTCGTGCGCATGTTTGGAATTGTTTATGCCTTTAACATTATAAAATGATGGCATTATTACCTGAATTCTACATTGTTTGATAAGTTTCTTTTTTATTAATTAATGTTGATAGTCATATATCCCTTCTTATTATTTTTTCTTTATATTTTAAATATATTTCTTATATACAGCATATGGTTAGTTCTCATTTTATCCAGTCTGAGAAGCTTTGCATTTTAAATGTGCAAACAATAGAGTGTAAATTGAGTAACACAAAACATTTTGTGTGGTTCATGTTCTTCCTCATTGCATCCTGTCCATTTATTTTGACTAATTATTTTTCTCATCATATTTCTTTCTTTGTATGACTGGAATTTTTGGTTTGATGACAAATACAGATTTGATCTCTATTCTGTGCTAACTATTTTTCATATCGGTTGGTCCTTTAAGGCCCTAGGATTGCTTTAAAATAGGTGCGTTGAACCTATGACTCATAAGCAGCATGTATCTCAGGCTAGCCATGACTATGACCTAATATGTTTGTAGATGACAACATTATATTGCAATGTCAAGAGGCTGGATACCTCTGCTTTAAAGATTCATTACTCAGCTTAGTCATCTTTAGAGATTACCTATAACCAGTGAAAATCCTTTTTTGTTTAAGGTACTAGATAGTTGATGAAATTATAAAATGTTCCAAAATAGCTATGAGCATTAGAGTATATTCTTGTTATTGTGTGATCACTAAACAAATATCTTTAACATCTTTTGTGTGACGCGTCCTAGTCTCAAGCAGTGTCTTCACATGCACAATTAATTCTCATCTGGACAGTAGAGGGACACATACACTTTGCAGATCCCTCCCTGGAATTCTTTCTTTCAGAATCTAAGCTTCCACCCAACACAACATGTCTATTGAGCCCCAGTCCACTTTCTCCTTGTACATGGTCCTAGAGTAGCAGTTCTCAACTTGTCAGTCATGACCCCTTTGGGTCACATATCACATATCCTGCATATCGAATATTTACACTATGATTCGTAACAGTAGCAAAATTGTAGTTATGAAGTAGCCACAGAATAATTTTATGGTTGAAGGTCACCACAATCTGAGGAACTATATTAAAGGGTCACAGCATTAGGATGGTTAAGAGCCACGGTCCTAGAGTCTCTCTAAAGCGGTAGGCAGGGATAATCATGGGTCTGCTCTTGCTTGCCTTTTGTCTCTCAGGAACCAAAGTTCTGCATTGCTAAATGGCTCACAGTGTCATCAGAGCTGGAAGCAGATGTCAAACCACAAATTTCCAAACCTCCTTTGCTAATTTTTCAAACGGACGAGGTGATCTGCTGTATATTTTGCTTGATTGTTATATTCAGCTTGTTGATGTTTCTTTTTAGCTTTCTCTGAGGACTCTCCTTGTTATACACAAAATATGGATTGGAAACTCGTCATTGATAATTATTTTGTATTTTTCAATAACTTGAAGAAGTCTCCAATAACTTTCATAACCAAGTAAGTCTAGATTCAACTTTCAGGTATTAACTAACATAAGGAAATGTCAATCATTGGCAACATTATTTAATTGTTATGAGCTCAATTTAAACATCGACAGTGCTTCATATCAGGAATCTTGTATTTGCCTCTTAAGTGTGCATCAATAGGAATAGGAGTTTTCTATAGAACAGCATGAGTGATAATTGATGATCTAAGAATAAAACATTTCTTTAAGAACGGCCAGACATTACTTGGCACTTCAACCATAGGGTCAATGATTCCATTTGGGTTAGTTGCAGAGGCTTTGGGGGAAAGTTGGTCTTTCGAAGTAAATATGCACAAATATTTCCTACTTTTCTCTATTATCACATGTTTTGAGATGGGTTTTTAAATGTAAGGGTACTGATTTTTGTGCCCTGTTTGAATCACTCATGTTTGTGAGCTGTGAATTTTTTTTGATAATAGGAAACAAATTTTACATTAAATGTATGCTGCAGTGGTGAGATTTCTAACATAGTAATAGATGGTCATATTAGTTTGACATGAAGTTAAAAGTGCTTTGTTTAGAAAATGTTCCATTTTGATTACTATGAATGATTACCATCTTAGAAATTTGAGATGCATTAGTTTTTCTTTCTAACACTAAGACAATTCTGTTTCTATTACAGGGCTTTAAATTTCACAAAACACCGTCTAGCGGTGGACAATAAGCTGTACACCCTTGAAAATGGGAAGATGAACATTCTCCTGTCATGTGTGGAGTTTTTGGAAGAATTATTATTATCCGTTCCTTCTGGCTCATTCACTGATCCTGAATCCCACAATCTCTCTTCTCTCACTGAGCTTCTTTGGAATAGAAGTATTTTGTGGATACATTATTTAAAAAGTTTAGAGAAAGACCCACATGACAGTGATGCTCAGAAACTTCTGAAGTTTGAGAAACTGGTCATTGAAAAACTTCAAAGTCTTAAAAAGCACCGGATGCAGAAGGAATCAAAAAATATTTTGAGATTCATAGAATTAATACTTCTTGAAATTAATCCAGAGCTGCGAGAATTCTGGCTCAATAGCATTTCACAAGAAGAAAGAGCTAATATTGAAATCTTGCCCACACTTGTAGATTTTTCTGTGCCAGAATATGAAACTATTCTTGGCAAAATATTTAATTTCTTCCAATCATTCCATTCTGGTTGGCCCAAATCGCCAGCCACGAATACAGACTTCATACGTTTAAGTGAGGCTATAGTACATGGTCTCTATGAATTTAGCTTTCTGACACAGGAACAAGTCTCAATAGCCCTGGACACCATCTATGCTCTGCAGAACATGTCTAAGCTTTTTACAGCCCTTTCTGAACCTCAAAAACAAGAGCTAGATGACATTTTGACTCATATATACATGAGCACCTTCAAAGACAGAGACACAGCTGTACTTCTGCAGACGTATTCTTCACTTTACCAATATCTTTATAAATTCTTGAACATTCGGGATAGACAGTCTCTAATAACTTATCTCACTCAAATCTCTAGGCAGATTTTGGACCTCATAAAGCGATTTAATATCCAAAACATCAATAAAGCACTTTTGCTTTTATCGGAGACAACAGAGGCTCTTGGGACAATACCTGAGGTATCTTACTGTCAGCAGTTGTTTTCAATTTTAAACTTTTTAGAAATTCAAGCCCAGTCCCTAGTGTTGACGGAGGGAATAGCACAAGGAGTGATTCATGCTAGTTTGACAGGTCTCAAGCAGCTGTTTGCCATGGATGAAGGCTTTCGTGTTTCTTTACTTGAGTATGTCAATCAGTTATTTAATGGTACAGCAGAAACCCAATTGCTGAGTGAATGCTTCATTCTGGAAAATGCAACCATTTCTTCTGTGATTTATTCAGGAAATGAGGGGTCTTCCCTTCCTTTTTCATGGAAACAAGTTTTTTCAAACCTCTCATTAAATGGCAGTGTGATCAGTGAATTCACGGCCATCCACTGTACCCTTTCATGGATTCAGACATGGACTGAGATTTGGGGAAGCATTTCTCACATATTCAAACTTGACCTGAGTATTTTTACTCCTCTTCATGTTGGTATCACTCAGCTTTTGGATGAACTGGAAAGTGATGGGAACATTTCTAAAAACTGCCAAGGAATAGTTCCCACATATCATACTGCTAGAGTCCTGTTAAATTTGTTTAAAAATGTAACTCAGGAGAATGGATTTCATGACTGGGATGGCCTCCTGGATCTCAGGGATCTTTGGGTAGCATTGAGTAATGAATTAGTTGCAGTGCAATCACTTAACCTGGACCAAATAGAGAAATCTTTCATCACCATGGAAACCTCCCTGCACCAGCTGAAGACATTTCCAATGAAAACAAATGCAAGCAAGGAGTTCTTATATTCCCTGTTTGATGTTTTCATTGAGTTAAGCAAAACCTCAGACTATATGGACAGAAATATGGAATTGATCAATAACTTTCTTTCAAATGATCTCACAGATCATAAAGCCAAATTTGCAAGTGTCATAACTGAGCTGAGAAAAACAATATTATTTCTTAAGAATGTGTCAGAGGATAGAACTTTATTGTCATGTGCTGGTATTTTTCAGAGTGTCACTGAGTTGATTTTCAAAGATAACCTATTACCTGTGAATACTTCTAAGAAGCAGGCACATATTCTGGCCATGTTAAGTTCCATATTTTCATCAAAAAACATAAGTAGTAGCTTGGAAGGATGCATTGCATGGGTAGATCTCATAGACCGTCTGTGTATGATGTATAATTCAAGTTCCTCATCCAGCCATAGTCACAGCATGTTGGGAAGCTTCGAGGATATGGAAAACAAAATGAACTCTGCATTGAAAATTTTAACATGGGTGCTAAATAAAAAGATACCCATTTGTCCATTAAATGAATCAAATATAAACTGTGTAAATATTTATCTGAAAGACATAACTGACTTTCTAAATATTATAGTTACTACAGGCTTGGAAAAAGAGAAGGTCCCTAAATTTGAGATTTTATTGGCTCTTTTCAACGATTCCACAAAGCAGGTAGACATGATCATCACCAACTTAACAAAAGATCTTGATTTTGCCTCCCAGTATGACTGGAAGCACTTCAAGGACTTACTTCTAAGACCCATAGGAATGTCAGATGACATTCCTGACCGGTTTCAGAATATCTGGCAGCATATTATAGCACTGGGGAAGGAAATGCAGAAACTTTTAAGAGGTATCTTCCATAATGTCCTCAGAAATAATTCCTCTTCTGACACTGAAACAATGTTTACTGTATTCTCTACCAGCCCAAAGGAAAAAGATATAAACCATTTAGGCAACTCAATTTACCAATTAGCTAATTTCTTTGCTCTCAACATAACTAATGGTCTTCAGAATTCATCAGAAGTGGCCCCATATGGGATATTGAAAGCTGTGGGTTTTGGTATCCAACTGGCCCGGGATGTGTTCAACTCCTTAATGCCTGCTGTCCATTTCAATATCCCACAAGATTCGGATCATGCTCAAGTCTTAAAGAAAGTGACATCTCTCGTGCATTCCCTCAAGAAGGCTGACATAGAGCTCTTAGTAGGCCAGTTTGGGCAAATCTCTGAAAGCCTAATGAATTTCTTTAAGAACCTCAGCAGATCAGGTATTGACAGTTTAGGGGTCGATATGCTGGTTGGCTTAGTGGAGAGGTTTGTGGACAGCTCAGACTCATGGAGTGTCAGTTACCTGCTGCGTCTCTCCCGTCTGCTGCCCAAGGAAGTAGTGAATACTGTGTTGGATGTGTATTATGCTCTTCCCCACATTGCAGGCCTCCTGCAGAGAGTCACAGATAAAAACATAACAGAGAGCCTCAAGGATGTCTATAACTTCACTCTTCTTCATGGCATAACCATGTTCAATATCACTAAGGAAGACTTTGCCGATGTGATTAAAACTCTTCTGGACACAGTTGAGTTGGTATCAGATGAACCAGCTGTTGTTTCAGAGGTTTTACTGTGCCTTCCCAAGGTCTGGTGCTCAAACCACACAACCTTCAGGCTTGAGGAAAACCTTAAAGTAGAAGGCTGTAATGTCCAGGGGCACAGGTCTTCTTCATTTTATCACATGGTGACCCGTATACTAGATCTTCTTCATCTGTCACCGCCAAGTGATTCCCAATGCATAAATGAAAACTCTGAAGGGAAAATAACCAGGAAAGTAGTCTGTGTGATCCATGAGTTGGCAGACTGGAATTCCATTCTCTTGGAGCTGTTGGAGATATTTCACATTAAAAATTTATTTGTGAAAACTCTGCAGGGATTTTGGCATGAGGTATTACCCTTTGTGTCACCTTCTGGAAGTCTGGATATTGGCAGCACCCAAGAACTCTGTCCTAGTGGACCCATAAAGCAAGCTGCTTTGCAAATCATAGAGAAATTAAAATATGCCAATTTTACAAAATTTATACTGGGCGAAAACATTCTGGACAAGTTAGGTAAATTAGACAAGATTCTTAACATTACTAAAGGCACAGAGAAATCTGTCCAAAAGAATGTTTACTTAAATTTGGAAAGAATATTCAAATTGGTTTCTGCTGTTTGGAGTTTAGGAAATAGTGCTCATTATCTACTGTCTCCAATCATGGTCTCTCTGAACGCAAGTCTTACAGATAAGAGCTCAGATGCATTATCAAGTTTAATGAAAAATGATAAAGCAACTTACAACTTTGAAGAACTGTGGTTGGACTTTAAACAACCCACCAAAGACCCAGCCAGTAACTTGAGTCTAGGACAATTACTTTCGGATATTAACAAAAAGATCCAAGGCATAGCTCTTCAAAACACAACTGTGCAACTCTCTCAAGTTCTGAAAATCCTGGATTCATCACCACTGAAGACAGCAGAAATTATTGAAGGTTTTCTATTTCTCACAAAACACTGGCTTCATGAATATGAAAATGAAGATTACTTAAGGTTAATGCAAAGACTACTCAGTGCCACTGCCAGTGAAAATTCAACTGATGTAACTACGTTGGCCAGGGATCTTACTACCTATTTGGACTATCTCAGAAACAGTTCTAAAGAAAGCAATTTTGATTCTGGCTTCCTCAGCCATATGCTAAATCAAGAGCAGCTAACTGACTTTTCAGCTGTCCAGTTGCTTCTTGAAAGCATTGTGATGAATTCGGTTCATAACTTTGCTGAGCTTTCTCAGGAATCAGCTCTGGATTTCAGTGGTGCCTACTTTCAAATAATGGATTTCATTAATCTCATCTTGAATCATATCCAGTCCAAAAATGGTGGGGAAGCAGCAGGAATCACAGAAGATTTCTTGAAGCAGCTTTTGGAGATATTACTCTTCCCTTTGCTAAATGGAATGCCTGAAAATAAAATATCACTTCTGCTGAAAGACTTCCATAAAGATGTCATTGCAGAGATGAGGTGAGTGTACCTTTGTTTCACAAAGTCATGCTGGTGGAGCATCCCAACTGGTTCACTGTCTAGAGTAGCGAACTGTCTATCACTATTCCTGTACCTAAATTTGGAATGGCTTTTGAAGTGGTTTTTGTCACAATGAGTGTTTTATGACAGGATTAAGGTAACAGAATTTCAATTTTCGCTGAACCAATAAACATTTAAATCTAGCCTCTCTTCATCAACCATATATTATTTTTTTCAATTTGTAACATAAATACAAGAAATTCTTTCTTACATACAAGAGAAAAGTGTATTTTGAGTAGATTTACATATACATATGGTATGATCACGGTTTCAATTGTGCTATTACCTGTCTCACCACAAGCACAAGGTTAACTATTTTTTTCCAATTAGCCTATTGTTTGTATCTGAAGCCATTAAAATAGTCATAGCATCTCTAGTCACAGTCTTCTGCAATCTCTCTGAATGTTAGCAGGGAAAGTTCTAGACAGAAATTCCCATTACTCTATGCTGTTGTATTACTTGGGAGACATCCAGGGAACAATGAGTATAGCAAAGATACAGCACAGAAAGTTGGTTCATGTGACCATGAAGACCAGGTAAATGCATTTAACCTCAGAGGGGCAAGGTTCAGGGAGGGACAATCAGAGAAGCAGGGAACACCTGCTGAGCTAAAGTTTGCAATCCAAGGAGGTGGTCAATAGGGGGATCCATGGGACAAAAGCTGCCTACCTTGCTGCTCTTGGGGTCTCTAGCACAAGGGGTCTCAGAGACTCTTATATGGCCTTCTAACTGACTGTGGCAGACTTGTTTAAGATAGCTTGCTTTCTGAATATCCTGAAGTCAACTCACTAAGGACTTTAAACACTTTTGCAAGATTCCTTCTCAGCATCTTATGTTAGTTTTGGAATCTGTAGCTGCAAGAAGGTATATTTGTGTTACAAAATGGCCACTACCTTCCATTCAGTGCTTTCAAGAGGGTCTCCTGTATAGTCCACCCAACCAGACACTTGTAGCAAAGGACATGTTGGAGCTACTGTGCAGCCTCACCAAGGAGACATATGATAGGCCATTTTAGATGGACTGAGCAATCTGGCAGTACTTTTAAAATTCAGTACTAGTATAAATAGGCTTTCTACTTTTTTCAGATGTTAACAGATTATATCGAGAATCATTGTGTAAGCCTGGTATGGTGGGCAACACCTTTAATCCCAGCACTGGGGGAGACAGAGGCAGGCAGATCACTGTGAATTCAAGGCCAACCTGGTCTACAAAATGAGTCTAGGACAGCCAAGACTATACAGAGATATCCTGTCTTGAAAAAGCCAAAAAAAAAAAAACCAAAAAACAAAAACAAAAACAAAAAAGCAACCCTCCCAAACAAACAAACAAACAAACAAACAAACAAAAGAAACCAAAAACCATTGTGTAAGGAGACTGCTGTTTCTCATTTTCTGTTACCCTCACTTCTCTCCTCCCCCCTCACTAAACCCCTTCTTTCTTCCAACAAGTCCTCTTCCTGTTTATCCTTTTAGTGTGTTTGTGACCTGCTTCACTTAACTTGGTTGCCTATTTGGGCATGGATGGGAATTGTCGACAAATGAAGGTGTTTCTGCAGCCTAACTACACGAGAAGAGTTCTGGCATAGAATATAGTACATATACAACCTCAATTATAAGAATTTCAGAGGATCTTGGCTTAATTTTCACTCTGATCAGAGTGTGAGGCTCCCTGTGGCTCTTCAGCCTTGTCGTGTCTGGTACTGTTTATATGAACTCAGATCTGTGAATCTGGTGAGACTATGGCAGAATCTCATTATAATTTTAAATGTCATTTTCCTAAAGTTGAGAACTTCAGAATATATAAGTTGGTCCATTATGACTTTGGTCTTTTGCAAATGGCTTTCTTTTTCTTCTTTAAGTTTTCTTTAGGTTTGTAGGTCTCCTCCATTTGTCTTTGATAGTTGTAACTTCTTAAAAATATATTCTTGATACTAGTTTACAGTTAAATATGTTTTAAATATATATGTATATATACGTATATATTATTGAAGAATATATCCTTCAATTATCTAATTGGTTCTTCCCCTTTCTTTATGGTTTTTATTGTTGAAGGGCATTATAAAAGTTAATGTAGCCAATTTATTCAGATTTTCCTGATTTGTAAAACTTAATAACCTTCTTATGGAAGTAGAAAACCAGAACTACTATATTATCTTTCTAGATTTCTTTTCTAAAAGCAAAAAATGAAGTTTTTCAGATTGCTACATTCAAAGAATCATTGCAACATCGCCTATGAAATTTCTTTACTGCTTTTGTTATTTGATAACAAAGTGTCAGGCTCTATCTGCAGTTATTTTTGATTTTCAGCACTCCATTCAATATCATCATTCTATGATACTATTATAAAACAAATAAAATCATGATATCACCATGTTTTAATCTTTCTGTGACTAACTTATGAAACATGAAATTAAAAATACATGAATTTTCAGTTTTGTCCCCAGAGACAAAATTTTTGAAGTTCTGAAACTGGATCCATTCCTTACCTGGATGAATGAAAACTCATCGATGAACATTTTCTCAAGTTTGAAGACTATGTATCATCTGATTAAGAACTCATTTTCATTAGACAACAGAGAACTCTCTGGAGTTCTGACAGATTTTTCTCACACTCATCCAAGGGAGAGCATGGTTAAAACTGACACTGGAGGCCATTTGGACTTTTTCACGGTAGTGACACAGTTTCTCTCCCAGTTTAATAATTCTGAGAACCTCTCAGAATTCAACCAAAATCTCAGGTCTGTTCTCCACCGTGTACAAGAAAGTTCTGCGGAAATGACCACTATTATGGACATTCTCTTATACTCGCCTACCCAGGCCTGCAGCTCCTCGTCTCCTCTGCACCAACACACCATGGTTGCTAAGCTAACTGACTTGCTTTCTGTTGTAAACAGTTCATTCCCTCTAAGAAAAAGAGAAACACTGGAATCAACTATGAGGTTATTTGGTGCCATTTCCCAAGTTGGTAAAGAAAGTCATGTCTTGGCACCTGCCTTAGAAATATCTAGAACTCTGACTTTGCTGGTGAACAACACTGCTAAACTGGCTGGTCTTGCCTCATCAGTGGACTCCGTGGTGAGACTTCTCAATCTAGCCAAAAAGGTTTCAAGAAAGATAACTACAATGTTGGGAACCCTCTCCATCTCTAGCTCAGAGGACTTCAGGACATTCTTTGACATTTTGTATTCCATCATGCTACAAAATGTTCAACATCATGTGAAGCAAGTAACTTCTTTGAAAAAAGTAGACCCTTTCCTATTCGAGAAGACAAAGGATTTGTTGATACCATTTCTTGACTTGGCCTTCGGGATGATGGGAGTGACACCTAATACATCAGAGGACTCTGATATTTTGAGCGTGTCATCTATCATATCTTCATATGTCAGCCCATCCAAAGACTTTTCTGAGATTTTGGAGGAAATGGCTGAAAACTTAATTTCTATAAAAATTGGGTTGAGAGATTTGGAGTATCTTGCAGTGGTGGTTAAAAACAGGACTCAAAACTTTTCTCTTGATGCTGTTAATTTATGGGAAGAAATTCTAGATTGTTTAGTCCCTATGAGTAACATCACCAACCAAATGGATTTCTTGAAGCTTCAGGAGCTTTCTTCTACCAGTCATCCTCAGGTCCTGAGAAAGGAAGGAAGTCATGACATAATCCGTTTTTTGGATGTAATGTTAACAGATAACAGCACAGAAAGAGAGACTTTCTTGAAAATGGTGATTAATCTCACCATACAAGCTCTTTGGAATGGCTTAAAGGAAGATAACTGGGATATTTTTAATCTCCTGTTGACATTTTCCCAGCATCCAAATGACCTTTTAAACACCATAGAATCAGTTGTAGAGGCCTCTAGTGAAATTAACAGTGACTATGGAGATGATTTAAATCAAGATTTATTTTCTGATTTGTCCTGGGTTCAGAACAGCAGTCGCTATCAGCTTGCAAAGTCAGTCCTGATTGGTCTCAGCAGAATAGCCCTCTCAAGGGAAGCGCTGCCCCCCAACAACACCCAGTGGGCACGTTTCATGCACACTTTGATTTTTCCTAATTCAGCCACTGCTCAGAATGTTACAGCAGCAACAGATGGGAAGAACAAGGAAGAAATGATGGCAGTTCCTCAGAGCTCTGAACAAATGTCATACTTCCAGAAATTCCTGAAGGCACTATTTGTATTGATCGAACACTGGCAGAAAGTACCACAAGCTGATCAAAGGTATTCTAAATCCCATTTTGCTTAATTTATTCCTTACTGTAGTATTCAAGAAGTACTCACATCAAAGCAGAGCAATCGGCTTTTCTCAATCTCAGTTTTCATCACACTCTGAAGCCAGCATCTACACACAATGATCCAAGTCAACAATTTCTTTTCCCTGTTTGCCTCATTATTTGGCATTCAAGTATGATTTGGATTCATTAAAAAAATATCCAGAAGTAAAAGCCTTACACTCTATTTGAGATTGGATATATGTATAGCATTTGAGAAGCTAGGTTGACCATTGCATTTCTGTATGTATTGCAGCAGTAACACTACTTTTGCCTCACTAATATGTATAGTTATTATATGACAATAAAATAATAACATAATGAATTGTAAATTAGGGATGAGTCAGGTGTGGTGAGGCACACCTGTAATCACAGCAGCCACAGGTACCATTATTGGGTATGTAGTGATGAGTGGGATCTATCCAGTTCAGTCACAAGATTTTGTTTGCAGCTTTAACTAACCATAGGAAAGGAAGAAGCAGATAATGACTCTTGTCCTCCTTAAACTCATCTCTAAATGATGATTTGCATCTAAGCTCTCCCATCCCTTAAGCTCACAAATCTGCCTCAGCCTCCAGTGTGCTAGTGTTAAAGGTATGTGTATGTGCCACTTAAAAGTTCCATTATCACCAAATCCAGCTCTAACATTAGTCTGCTGCTTTGGGCTAAAGGATTTATGCATTTTGATGTACAGGACCCCACGATGCTCTTCCTGCCTCAGCTGTGATTCCTGGATGTGGCAAGGCTAGCTATACTGTGATCCTTGCCTGTTCACTTTCCTCTCAACCCCATGTGGCAACTTAGAGGTGTTATGTAACACCTCTATGCCTCATCTGCTACCAGACAGGCTAACCTACTTCCTGTTAGTTCTGTTGCCACAGAATTGTACTCTGAGTATGATCATTTTTTTAAATGGCTTGGAATGATGTGTCCTTACTTGATGAAACAGATGTCTCATTATTTCAAATTTTAAATGCTGGCTTCAAGAGCCTCCTGCTTTATCTCTGCACTGTCTTTGATTCTAAACTACAGTGCTTGAGTGTCCTGTTCTGCTTGGCATTTCCTTTCGAACGGGAGGTAATCCTGGCTACCTCTGTTCTGTAAGCTCAGCTTTCAACTCACATTTTTAGTTCTCCACAGATAAAACTTTCACTATTTGTCTATATACACTCCTCTTTCCTTCCTTCCTTCCTTCCTTCCTTCCTTCCTTCCTTCCTTCCTTCCT